GAACCAAGATGCATTATGTAAAGGTACAATTCCCAATGAGAAATGTAATTGTGTTGTATACCTACAATGTACCAATTAAAGAATTTAATACAAAAGAAAGAAAGAAAGAAAGAAAGAAAGAAAGAAAGAAAGAAAGAAAGAAAGAAAATGGACTAAACAACGCTAAAGAAGAACAAAATCATGTTATTTGCATGAGAATGGATGGAACTAAAGACCATCATGTTAAGTAATTATAGTCTCAGAAAGTTAAATAGCACAGATTGTCTCTTATATAAGCAATCCATAAATAATAAATACATACATACATACATACATACATACATACCAGATGGGGAAGAGAATCGGGGGAAAGAGGCAGAAAGGGTAAAGTGGTAACAACAAAGAAAATAATCAAAATATGTTGTATGCATGCACTAATACACCAAAATAAATCTTATTATTCTGTATTACTAATATCTACCCTTCACAAAAAAAGATTGGTGGGCATATGGAGGATAGAGTTCTTATAGCCATTTTCAAATGATTTTGAAACATGAAGATGCAGTTTTCTTTAAATAGGTCAAGGTCACATGAGAATATGTGTAACAATCTACCCTTAGCTTTTCATGACTTGACTTCTTGTTTTCCCAAGATTCTTTTCTAGTTTTAGTTGAGAAACAGACTACATATACAAAGTCATAAATGTTTTCATTGAAAACAATTTAAAGTGGAGACATTACAACACTGAAAGAAAAAAAAACCTTGAAGTTGAAGTTGATTTTTGACTCTAACCAGGTAAATATATTTCAATGGTGTTAACTTTCAAAACTACAAAGCTCAAGCAATTCAATCTGTCCAACTCTAGAGCATTTACATAATCCAGATTATGGATTTTTGTGATCTACAACCTGCAATACAATGGATGTGTTCATCAGTGACAATACGTAACTCTCCACCTGGATTGGAACATTTGGCTGGGGTACAGTAATTATTTCATAACTGATTTGATCCATCATAATATTAATTTAGTTTTTTCATATTATAATTGATGCTATGAAATGTTGACTATGGATTAAAATACTATAACATTAATATTAAGATTTTTACATTTCATTTGAATTTAAATTTTTGTTTTTATTAAGGTAGTAAGCTTATACTTTAAATATTATAATATTTCTACCTACAAATTTATTTTCTAGGAAACCCATTTAAGAATCAATACCTAGTTTTTAAAAGAGGAGATTCAATTTTAAGAATGTAACAAAATTAACTCCAGAGGGCCAGGGATTTAGCTCAGTGGTTCTGGTGCCTGCCTTGCAAGTGCAAGGTCCCGATTTCGATCCCCAGTACCAGAAAAAAAAAAAAAAGGAAAATTAACTCCAGAAATTCTCATTTCATCTAATGTTTGGGTATTACCAAACTAGTATACAAGTGTTAACTATGGATACTAGTAATTGTAAAGCTATTCTGTACCAGGTTGTATGACAATGAATTATAATTTGTTTATGCTATCAATTCTGATATAATTTCTTGTGATAGTTTCTCTGAATAAGTGACTTTGACAATTGAGATGTCTGTGATCATTGATCACAATCTATTTTGTAATACTTTAAAAATGAAGTGGTATGCATTTTCCTTCTAAAAGGGTTGTTTAGATTTTCACTGCTTAGCTATAAACATCTCACAAATGAATATAGGTAATAAATTCTTTTAGAATTTGGATAAAAATTATATTAAAAATTTACTTAAATGGCATATAGAAAATTCTCTCAGAATTTAAATAATATTTTTTAAAAATATAACCAAAATATTGTTCAATAACTTTTTCTTAACCAAAATATTAAATACATTATCAATAGGTATAAGATAAAATATTCTACAGACTAACAATCTTCTATTTGCCTGTTTCTATGGTTAAATAAATGTTAATATTTAATTTCCCCCATAACATAGAAGATATGACAAGAAAATTAGATATTGACAATTGATCAATTACTTTAAAAATCTTAAAAGCATTAACTTATTTGTGTTAGTATGTGCTTTAAATTTAATTTGATTACTTCATGTTCCCTATCTTTATTTTTTACTCTAATAGATAAATCAATTAATAGTGTGTCAACGTTTTGATTTGGAAGGTATGTATGCAAATACATATACATATTTAAAGATGTGATGTGTTTTGCTGTAGTAAGATCAACTCCTATGAATTAAAGCACTGCTCATGTTTGAGGAAAGTAAACATAAAGGAGACTATATGAAAACATAAGGGGACTACATGGAAGGTCCTTAGAAATTGAGAAGCTGAATGCAGTAGTAGTCTTCTCATGGAAAAGGATAATGATACTGGCTCCAGGATTATCCCTCAAGATGCTGTTATGCACTTTGAGGTTTGCTAAACATAGGCCTGAGAGCTGAAATGGTTTTCCCATCCTGAATTTCTCAAATACAGGTATTTAAAAGGAGCAACGATTACAGATTCTTTGGGAATTCAGCTAGTAGAAGCAGAATGAAGTAAGTTTCCAGGCAGTTTTGAAGTCTGAGAAGTTAAACTGTCCTTTAGAACTTAGTTACCTTAATGACACTCTAGAGAAGTGTTTCTTTCATGTAGATGAAACCACAATCCATGTAAATAAAATTTCTAGTTTTAAAAACAGTAATATCACCGTTGATGACTTTTCTTATAAACTTGAGAGATTTTAAGACTAAAATGATCATTTATGTCTTTTTTAAACTTTCCAATTTAGGTTTGTTATTAAAAAAAAATACTTTGTTTTTTTTTTCTTGCTGCTTCACTTGAAAGTGCTGTAGTTTTAGTAAAAATCACTTCTTCCAGAAACTCCCTTGTGTATCCACAATGAATAAGGCATAGGCTAGTCATTTTTAGAGACTCAAAGAAGACATAAATCTGGCTTTCCCTGATGGGCCTGCCCTGATGGGCTTTTTCTGAAGTATCAGGGATGAATTATCTTAAGTAAAGCATATAATAGCATCACAAAAGTTATGAGAGGGGTAAAAACTAGTTGTGGAAATGCAAAAGAGGTACAGCAGTAGTCGCTCATAATTTAATAAATCATCAAATTAGTTGGAAAAATCTAAACAGTCATGTGTAGGTAACTAGTTCTCCAAACCAGTGATTTTCAAAGTATGGCCCCTAGAGCAGTAGCATTAATGCCATCTGGAACCATGATAGAAATACAGATTCCCAGGCTGCATCACAGACCCATCAAGACAGAAAGTCAAGAGGTGAGTTTTCAGTAAGCTGTGCTTTGTCAATCTGCAGGTGACTCCGATGCAGAATAAATTTAGAAAACTACTATGCTAAGGGAAATTTTCTTATACTTTAACACTGTACTTATTTAAAAGAATAATACAACTCTACAGAATTATCATGGGTATCTCCAAAGATAATTTTCAATATAAAAACAACTACCAAACACAGCATATAGTAGTGTGTGCATGTTTAAAATATATGTACATAGATGATGCATAAGGTTGATATATCTCTAGAAGGATGTTTATGAAATTGGAGAATGCAGAGGATATGGAATAATGCTAGAAGGAAAAATTAATTTTAATTTTACATTCCATTTTGCATTTTTAAAATTTGTGTCACACGTTTGTAATTCCTACTTACAGAATGAAATTAATTTTGAAAGAGAAATAGGAACTACATTCATAAACTTTAATGATTTAGCATTCAATATAAAATAAAAATATATGCCTTTCTAGTATGCTGACACAATATAGAAATATCAATATTTTCACATCCCTATGAAATCATTAATGAGGAAAGTGTATATAGCAGTTTTAAAGCTTAGCATTAAAATATTAAATGTGTATTAGAGCAACATAAACATTAAACATATACCCATAAAAGAACATTTGAAAAATTATGAAAAGTGAGAGAAAAAATTTTATGCACAACTACTGATGCATTTCCTCTAAGGCTTTTTAACATGATAATTTCAGGGCTAAGGGTGTAGCTCAGTGGCACAGTGCTTGCCTAGTATGTGGAAGGCCCTGGCTTTGATTCCCATTACCACAAAAATAATTATTATTTTGGTGAGAGTTTGTAAATATCATTTTTAATCAGTGTCCATGGAATGTTTTATAGCTATTTATTTGATGTTATTTTTAAATATAAACCCTAGCATTCTAAATGGGGACATAGTACTCCTGGAGGGGGAGTATTGCAACATTGTCTTATATGATACCTATATTGTTTGTGTTTTATTTTTCCTATTCTAGATGGTACAATGGTGAACACTTGGGCACCTAAAATATTTTTTAAATTTAAGAATAGTTTTGTTTGTAAAATTACAAAAGTAAAATTATTACGACAAAAGTTAATGTTTCTATTTTCTTGCAAAAGGATGAATTGGGTTATTTTACTAAATAATATATTAAAGTCCTTCACATATCCTTCTATTTACCATAAACAAAATATTTTTCTTAATTTATACTACTCAGATTGAATCCTGATAAGGTCTTTTTGATATCATGTAGGAAGAAAAAGATGAAGAGGACAAAATTTAATATAACTCAAAACATAACAGTAATGGGTCAACTTCTCTGGAGTCAAAATTATACAGAAGAGCCATGCAAAGAATTTTAGCAGTAAAAGGAACCTTTAGAGTAACTAGTCTGTTTTATTTTTCTATATGGGGAAGCTAAGATACTAATAAACTACTGAAAGCCAAATACTTAAATTATCCACTATAAAATCCCTTATTTGAAAGTAATTTGATATGTAATTTATACAGTTCTTACATTAGTACAGTATTAATAATAAATCACCCTATTGTTTCATTCTTTAGTCCTTGGTCATTTGAAAACTAGTAAAACCTATGAGGTCATGAATAATCAAGGACAGAGAATTTATTTTGCAGAAGAGAGAAATAATTGGTTCCTCCTGTACCTTTGTGGAATTTCAAGGCCTTTCACCATGACAGTTTATGATAATGTAGGTCAAGATATAATTACTATTCATAAAGCTCTAAGATGCAGCTGTTGCTGGAGTAGCTGCTGCCTACAAAAGGTCAGTAAATTTTTTGTATCATGTGATTCAGAATGTATATGAGTACATTCAAAAAAGCCTCAACCCCGAGCAGTAGGATAAAACTTAAACATTGGACTTAGTTACAAAAAATTCCCTGGAATAAAAAGTATGAGAAAGAATTAAATTTTTGGACCGTGTATCTACAGAGTGAGAATTGCTAACAACCCTGTAAGGTTTTTTACAGGCAATGAAGGTCACAAGATCTTTAGATTTTGTTTTATTTTTTAAATTCTAAAATATCTAATGATTCATTCAAGTCTTCATTTTTCACCTGTATCCATTTGTGATCTAGAATAGGGCAAATTTTGAGTTTCTTAATTTATATTTTAGTGTTTCTATACTAGTGTAACATTAGGTATTCTTTCATGAGATGATCAGTTAAGTATAGCCACAAGAGTGGCCACAAGAGAGGTTCAGGAAAAAAAAGTTTATGATACTCAACAGTTCCTTGAGATACAACCGCCACAAGCCATGGGGGCCACAGGGGAAGCACTAAGAGAAGAAGCAGAAAGGGAGCAGAGAAAGACAGCTGGGCTCATCAGCAAGTGATTTGTATTTTTTACTATATCTCCCATCTATCACCAGTTGTGCATATCTATACATGTGTACAATAGATATCTACATATATAAAACAATGGAAGAGTGAGGCTCCAGAATTAGATAAACACATATATTAGAGATTCATTTTCAAAAAATAGTGCCAAGAAAATTAAATAGAAAAGGAATCTTCTGCTCAGTGACTATAGAATACATCTCCTGATATTTAGGTCTTCTTTAACAATTCCCGGTAATGGTTAATCCTATTCAGGTTTTCAGAATATTCTATAAGGGGTATATTTAGATATTTAATGTTTTTAGATATAATATGCTCTCTTATAATAGTATACTATTATTAGTATCTTAATTTAAATTTTCTATTTTGTCACATATGTTTATTACATATATTCTATTTATTTTATATATATATATATATATAATTGGTCTATGTGTATTGACCATTTATCATTGACCTTGCTAAAATCACTTATAAATTCAAGCAGCTTTTTTGTAGATTTTAATAATGATTCTTACCCTTATGTAATATGAAAATAGTTTTACTACTTTTACCATATGTATTCATTATATTTATACAAGCAAATACACAAATGTACATATTTCTTTATTGACTTTTGCGCTGGTTAGGAACTCTAATATAATGTCGAATAAATGTAGAAGAGAAGATAGAGTTAACTTTTCTCAGGACTGTAGAGGAAAAAAATCAGTCTTTATCATTATGTATGTTATCTGTCAGTTTTTGGAAGATATTCTTTATCAAGTCTGTTGCTTACTTTCTAAATTTTGAGGTATATTTATAGCCTTTGATTATTTATTTCTCATTCAGTTCTATTCTGTAGAGAACATTTGTATTACTTCAATATTTCTAAACTCCCTAAGAATTTTTAAATAGTTCATTATTACATATTTACAGTACATGATGATTACATTCTTCGTAGAGAGCTGGTACATATTTGTAGCAGATCTTCATTCTTTCTTCATCCTCTCTCCTCCCTCACCACTACCTCCATCTCTTGATCCCCTTCCTTTTGCAAAAAATCTATTTCTCCATTTCATGCTATCTAAATTTTATTTTGCTTTTTATATTTTTTGTTTCTCATATAAGAGAAATCATGTGACATTTAAGCTTGTGTGTCTGATTTATTTTATTTCACATTATGGTGCATCCATTTTCCTATAAGTGACTCAAATTTCTCCTTCTTTACGTCAGAGTAGTGCTCTATTGTGTATAAATACCACACTTTTTATCCACTGATCTATTGATGACATGCATTTTTGGTGGGAATGTAAACTAATACAGCTATTATGGATCATTCCTCCAAAAACCTAAAAATAGTAATTCCATTTTACTCAACTATTCCTCTTCTAGGATTCTTCATAAAAGAGTTAAAGACATCATTTTATAGTGATACAACCATACTCATATTATAGCAGCACAATTCATAATTGTTCAACATACCAAGAATTATTTATTGAGCTAACATATGGCCTACTTTGTAGAATATTCATATGGATCTGAAAAAATGTGTACGCTGAAATTGTTGTATGAAATATTTTAAAATGTTAATTAGATCAAGATTGCTATTAGATCAGATTTCCTATCTCCTTAGTGATTTTCTGCCATTGTTCTATAGTGTAACTGTATAACAAATTATCATCAAATTTAGCTGCTTTAATTTTAAAGATTTATTATCACACACTTGCTTCAGTTCAAGTACTAGAAATGGCTTAGCTAGGTGGTCTTGGTTCATAGCTTCTCATAATGTAACAGTCAAGAAGTTTGCTGGAGGTACTGTTAGCATAATATTTGACTAAAGACAAAAAATTTTTTCCAAGAAGGATCACCAAATCACTAATGGAAGACGGTCTTATTTCTTCCTTGACTATTGCCAGGAGGCCCTGATTTCTTGGCATGATTTGATTTTCAGTAGCTTGACCATGATGTAGCAAGATGTAATTTCCTTTGTATTCATTCTGTTCAGTTTGATGAGCTTCTTCTAATATGAATGTGGGAATTTTCTCCAATTTTTGAAATTTCAAGCCATAGTTTAAGAGTATTACTCTCTCCATTTTCTTCCCTCTTTAGGTGTTTTTAGTTACATATGTTAGATGGTTTGATATTTTCTGATGCTTTGATAAGTTATTACTCATTTTGAAATCTTTTTAAATTCAGTTGAGATATATATAACATTTAAAAAGTACATAGTAACTGGAGAAATGAATAAGGACAAAAATAAATTTGAGGTAACAATAGTGGTTCAAAACCACTGATCTGAAATATCTGTAAAAATCTAAATAAATAAAGAGTCAAGTAACAAACCTTCTGCTCCAACTTGGTCAGACTTTGCAAGTCCTCGCCAGCTTCAGTCCAGGAGCAGGCACTCACACAGCTCCTTGTAGATCCGCTTGCATGCACGTGAGAAGTCTTCTTGCTAAGACTGGAAAGGCTGCTCCAAGGTGAGGCACTTGCAATACTGGAGCACAAAGACTGCATGGTCACTGTCATTTTTCTGTTGTGGAGTACACTTCATAATGAAGTGGAATTCCACCTATCCCTGATTATCTATTTTTCTAGGACGGATAATCACCCCATATTCTTCTGTCACAATTTCCCCCAACATTTACTTCTCACAGTTTGAATAGCTGCAGTGTTGTACACTGTCAGTACCGATAGTCACTATGTAATATTGTGTACAGCTTATCTTTATTTATTGCATCTTGGTTTTTGTCACCTCACTTCTAGACTGATTTCCCAGGAAAGGCTCAAAGTAACAACATCCCCCGCCCTTTCAGGCTCATAAATTTGTTCATAGCCTTTCTGGGTCAATTTAATTATGTTGAATATAAATTTCTTGGTTAATATTTTTCATTCCTTGAATATTTAAAATGTTAACCCATTGTACCGTGGCATACAATATAGGTTATTAACCAAGATTCTGTTGTCTGGTTTTGTTTCCCCATATGTAATGTGATTGTAAGGGTCAAGCCACCTGGAATCATTCTAGTTTAAGTATATTGTCCATATGTGCTAATAATGCCATGTTTCACTTTCCAAAGTCACTCAGATATAAAGTAAGTGACATAATAATCCTTTTTATATATTTTACATTTTAAGGGGCTTTTTTCCCTTCTATTTTACATTTTCATAGCCTCCTAATCATCTCAGGGCTGGTTATTTTAGGCTGGTTTTCTTCAGGGATGCCCTTTCAATTGATAGATGAGCTGTTTTTCTTTTATTTAGAAAAGGTTTATTGATCTACAGATTTGGGTATTTATTCAATTTCACTATTTTCTTTTTTTGAAATTCTTACATATTTTGAGCTTTTTCCCCATCTCCTGTATCATTATAATATATTCGGTTGTATCTGCCCTGTATTCCTCCTACGTTTTCATTTCTGAACTATTTTTTCTTTTCTTTTCTTCTAGTATTTTCTGAGCTCTGAAATTTTCTTTCATAGTCTCTTGGTTTTCTATTTCTGTCCCTTTGTCACTACAGTTCTGAATTTTTCTAGTTCTTGCTTATACCCCTTATTCATATCTTCTATGATTTCTAAATGTTTATTTCAAAATTAACATTAGTAAAGTTTTATGTTTTGAGGGAAGGTTCCAGTGTAAATTTATTTTCTGTAGAAACATTATCTGGACACTATTCTCTTTTTATTATAATATCACTGAATGTTAATAGCAACATTGGCTCAATATTATTTATGTTTGTGTTGCTTATATCTGCTTACTGTAGGGTTTTTGCTTGCTTGCTTTTTGTATTTTTACCGTACTCCATGCTGTATTTTTACAGAAGGGTGGATTTCTAGAAATTTCTCTTCTATTTTTACTGTGAAATGTTGGAACTATTTGACCTTATTTCTTTAACCCCCACATCCTCCTGCCTTGCTCAGTTTTTAGTCTAATCCCAACAGTGTCTGGCCAGTGTAAGCTTTGTCATGTAAGAGATTCTTGGATGGATTATTTAACGAATTC